TTTATTTTTTCAGAAAACCAAATTAATGCTGATGTACAAGCTGATGGTCCTTATATTGATGAAGAAAATAAATCAGGTAATATTAAATAAAAAATAAACAATAATATATATTTTTATTGATTTTAATTTGTTCATACTTTCTAGTTCCAAACACTGCATTATCTCCTGAAGCTATAGAAGAAATTACATTATTTGTACCGCCTAATATTAATGCGAGTGCTAGTGATAATTTGTGTTTCCTAAGATACCATCCAATTCAACCTTCTGGAGATCTTCATAATTTACCATTTAAAACATGTCGTTTATATTATCGAATAATGTCAAATCAAACTATGATTCAAAGAAAATGGCTTTCCTATTCACTTCATCTCAATAAAATTTACTGTGTTACCTGTTTGTGCTACACTGATAGAACCAGTCCATTTACTCAGGGTATTACACCATCGAAAAAACATGTATATAATCAAGTTGAATTACATGAAAAAAGCAGTACTCATGGAATGGCACTCATGTCGTTTTTATTACAAAGTAAAAATCAATGTACTAAGTCTTTATTAACAAAAAAACATAGTGAAGACGTATTACAAAGATGGCTAGTGTTACGAAGAATAATAGATATTATTAAATTTATTGGAACTCAGGGTCTAGCATTCAGAGGAAAACATGAAGCAGCATTTTCGCTTGACAATAATAATACTAATCATGGAAATTTTCTTGCACTAGTTTTACTACTTGCAAAATATGATCCTATACTTGATCGCCATGTTAATACATCGATAGAAGCAAGTAAAAAAAGAAAAGAAACTCATCATAATACTAAAGGGCGTGGTAACTTAGTAACTTTTTTATCTAAAACAACAATTAATAAACTTATTAATATTTGTGGAAATCAAATTCAATTAGCAATCGCTTCTCAAGTAAAAGAAGCATGGAAGTTTAGTTTAGAAGTAGACTCATGCCAAGATGTAGGAGTAATGGATCAAGTTGCAATTTGTGTTAGATATGTACGAAATGGCATTGTACATGAAAGATTATTATGTATGACTCCTATCCGTAATACTGCTGGAAGACAATATTTTGACTTGGTCAAAACTATTTTGAATAATTTAGGATTAGATATAAGAAATATAATCAGTTCAGCTTTTGACGGTGCTAGTAATATGTCTGGAAGATATAACGGGCTCCAAGCAGCGTTAAAAGAAGTGTCGCCTTCAATGATTTATACACATTGTTATGCTCATTCACTTAATTTAGTTATGATTGGCTCATGTTCAAGTTGTTTAGAAGCACGTTTTTTTTTTTTGGATTGTTAGAAAAGGTAGCAGTATTTATTGGAAATTCTTATAAACGTACATCAAAGTGGATTGAAAATTTGGAACAATTGGTTGAAGGACGTGAGACACTGAGAAGATTACAAAAAATTGGAATTACTAGATGGTGGGCCAAAGACAAATCGCTTGAAACTATATTTGATGTAAACAGGTATGTTGTGCTTTTAAAAACACTTTATAGTATAGCGTACAGTGATCAATTTGAATCCAAAGTTAGTTTCGAAGCTCAATCTATTTTGCAAATATTCTTAAAATTTGACACAATTCTTGTAGCTTTTGTTTTTAAAACATTATTTAAATACACTACACCTGTAAGTAAATATCTTCAAACTGTTTCATTGGACTATCTAACAGCACATCAATTATTAAAGAGTTTAGAAAAACAATTATCTAATATGGCAAAAGATTCAATATCAACATTTGATAATATTTTTAAAGCTGCATTATCATTTGCAAGTTCTGTTAATGATATTTTAACTAAAAATGAAATTGAATTAGAAATCGAGACAATACTATCAAAAAAACGATCACGGAAAGTTTAAAGAATGTTTGATGAAACTGCAACAGATGAGTCAGTAAGTGCTTTTGAAAATGATAAATATAAGTTTCGCGTGAGTGTTTATCAAGTTGTAATTGATACTGCATCTAGACAAATCAGTGTAAGGTTTGGTGATTCAAATACAATTATGCAAGATGCTTCATACTTGGATCCTAAAAATTTTAAAAGAATAAATGAAGATCCGAGTGTGATCCCACAAGGAGCTTTACAGTCTTTAGCAAAAATGAGTAGTGTTGAACGAGATGGTTTAGTTGATCAATTAATATCTTTTGCATCCATTTATCATAATATTTCAAATAATACAGAGTATCAATCAAATATCCCTGATTCAGAAAATGATGAAGAAGAAACTCTAACACGTTGTTCTATTGATCAAAAATGTGAAAAGTGTATTCCATGTGCTATTAAATTATTGAAAGATTTTAATTTACATAGTAGCGCATACTCAGATTTATATATTGCGTATGAAACTTTATTAACAATTTCTTTTACCCAAGTCTCATGTGAACGTTCTTTCTCTAAGCTTAAAATTATCAAAACTCGTCTCAGATCACTTATTGGTCAAGACTTGATGGAATCCTTAATTTTAATAAATTCTGAGGCAGATATTATTCCCGAATGGAACTATGATGACATTATTGATAAGCTTGCAAGTACATCTAATGAAATGAAGCGATTGTTATTTTAGAATTAAATTTTTCTTAATAATTATTATTTAATTATAAATTATAATTATTACTATCCAGTATCCTTGATTTATAATATTATAAAAGTTGAATTTAAAATGAAATAAAATATTATTGTTATTTCATTATTTGTTTATATTATGTCTTAACAATTAACACAAAGCGTTTGATTCTATAGGTACCTATACTCTTCTATAAAATCTTCTACATTTTCTTCCTTGCCTTAAATTAATCAATAACATTTTTAACGATTTTGTAAATTATAAAGTTTATTAATTTATGATAATTTTTAGTGAAAAAAATTACTCATCTTTTTTAAGCGAATTATTATTTATCACTATTGTTGAGGCCCTTTATAAGTAAATTGCCGGTGAGGCCCTTGGTACCCAGTCCGACCCTGCATGTAACTGTAATATAGGCCTTACTAGAGTCGGATGTCCACATATCTGTCGTAACTGATACATTGAAAACAGTTCTTAACATACCCTTTAATTTTGAAACTATAACGTCATATTCAGTAGATAATAATTTTGTCGATAACAACTTTCTACTCGGAGGAGTATATAGAGGCTGTAAAATTTTTATATATTCTTTAAAACCGATATTATCTACAATAAGATAGAAGCTGATAATCAGAAACAATAATTTTTACTAACGCCTTATCTATTGATTTATTGTCGGCGTCACTAAGTTCATTTTTTTTTGCCGAACCATATAATCTAAGTTGGCGTTGACGTTTTACGGGAGGCTCTAAATATGGTTCTGGTGTCGTTAAAGTGTTATTAGGTAAAGAAGAAGAAATTGATGAAGTTGACAAGGCCGTTAAATTGTTGACAGTTGGTAATTCGGAATCGGGATCATCTTCGTTTACAAATGCCGTATTTAAAGTCGATAGGTGTTTTCGTTTCAAATGATCTATAGAATATAGATAAATTAAAAGCATATTGTTATGACAAGTATTGTATATTTTTAATGACGAGATTAAAAATTTAAGTGTTAATACGTTATAAAAATTTAATGATCTTTAGATTTTGAGAAAAGCAAAAAATTGGTTTACAAAAATTTATATGTTTTTGAATTGTTTTCTATTTAATTTATTAATATTAAATTATATTGAAAATGTTCATTATTACCTACATAAAATATATCCTAATTTAGTTTAATTTAAATCTAGAATTAAATTAAAACTATTTAATTCAAATGACGAATAACAATATATCTTAAAACGTATATACATATTCGTTACCTTTTAAGTTCGTTGTATTCCCATAGTACTTAAAATCTTTTTTTCATCTTTGGCAATCAACATTTTTATTATCTGCATTTTTCTTAAAATGATCCCAGACTACAGAACGCTGCCTGTTACCAGGTCGCATTTTTAAAAAAATAAGTAGAAATTGGTGAAATCTATATTCTATATTCTACGAAAACCTGCAGAGAACATATAAGAAACTTACTACTAAGACAAATTAATATAATATTTTAAATTAAAAAAAAACCAATAAATCGTATTTATCCAATTAATTGTATTAGATACTTACCTAATAAGAATGTGAATATCCTAATCTAAATATTCGTTGAATATTATTCAATACAAAACAATACAAATATAAGAATATTGTATGGTATATACTATATTATATAATTTATTATTTCATTAGTTAAACTAAAAAAAATGTTAATTATTCTTCTTCTTGGGTATTATCGGCCACTAGGACCATCCCGTCAAACAACCAATCCTCCATAACTCTCTGTCAGCTGCTTTTGTTTTCCAATCTGAGCCACCGTTCAGCGATTCCACGTCTTTCTTAATTAAATCTTCCCATCTTAAACGGGGTCGTCCAAGGGGCCTTTTCCCTTTTGGGTTCTCTATCAATACTACGTGCAGTAGTGGGTTCTGACTACGCCATTCGTGACCCGCCCACTGTAACCTCCTACTCAGGATTATGTTTAATATGTTTGGCTTCTGAAAGAGTTCTTCTAGTTCTTTGTTTTTCCTTATTCTCCATCCCTCAGTTTCCTCGTCTTTTACTGGGCCAAAGATCTTCCTTAAGATTTTCCTTTCCAAAATACTCAGTTTGTTTTCCTCCGTTTTTCTTAATGTCCATGTTTCTGCTCCGTATGTAATTATGGGACGTAAAAGTGTAGTATATAATTGTAATTTTATATCTCTCGACAGGGATCGGGACCCTAGTATCCTTATGAGTCCGTAAAGACATTTGTTTCCCGATTGGATTCTTGCTGCCACTTCCTTATCAGTTTCATTTTTTTCGGTCAAAACAGAACCTAAATATTTAAATTGTTTGACTCGATTGAATTCATGGTTGCCAACTCTTAAGGAAGGGTACATTCTGGTATTATCTCTTCTCCCCACCACCATGTATTCTGTTTTGTCTTCATTTATTTGTAAGCCAACCTTCTTAGCTGCCTCCTCCAAACGGTCGCATAGTGATCTTAATCCATCATGTGATTTATCCATGAGGACCAAATCGTCCGCATAAGCCAATAATGCCACGGAGGAGCCTTGTAGTGGCATCCCCTCCTGGGGTCCAATATTAGTTTCCCTGATAACCTTTTCTAATACCAGATTGAAAAGAACCGGTGACATTGAGTCCCCCTGTCTTAGGCCTGAATTCATACTTATTGGGTCGGTTTCCGCTTCTCCTACTCTTATTTTAATGAACGTTTCCATAATACATGCTTCGATCAACTTAACTAATTTTTGTGGGAAGTTATACTCTCTAAGAATATTTATCAAGCTTTTGCGATGAATACTGTCGTATTCCTTCTTGAAGTCGATAAAGAGCACGTGCATTTCCTTGTCGAATTCCCATGTCTTTTGGAAAAGTTGTCGGAGAATAAATATTTGGTCTACCATAGATCTTCCTGGCCTAAAGCCTCCTTGATAATCTCCAATGATTTGCTCCGATTTTGTTCTTATCCTTGACAAGATGCAGTTCGTGAAAACTTTATACGCAACACTTAGCAGGGAAATTCCGCGATAATTATTGCAATCTTGTTTATCCCCTTTCTTATGAATTGGGCATACTAAGGCTATTTTCCAATCTTCCGGAACTGTTTCGGATAGCCATATTTGGTGGATCAATTTCCACAACCTGAACGTCATTTCTTCTCCTCCTTTTTTGAGAAGTTCTGCATGGATTTGATCCTCGCCAGGTGACTTATGATTTTTTAATATGTTAATTTGGAATCTTATCTCGTCCAATGAAGGTTCTGGGCATTCTTGTTCTTCTTCAGTTTCTAAGTTAAGGCTAAAGACTTCATCAGGTGCTTCACAGTTAAGGAGAGTATCAAAATAATCTCCCCACTTTTTGGCTAATTCTTCATTCGTGGTTATCAACGACCCATTGTCATCTTTTAGGAATCTTTCCTTCTTTTTGTAACCACCAGTAAGATAATTTATGCGTTTGTACATATCTTTAGCCCTATGTGCTTTGTAGTCTAGTTCAGCATTAACCATTATATTTCGAACATATTTCCGCTTTTCACCTCTTAGGATGTTGCTTGTTTCCCTTAGACGAGTTTTGTACCTTGCGAATAGTTCTTCGTTTCTCGTATCGTTTAACCAATTTTGCCTTGCAACCTTTCTTCTCTGCAGCGCTTCTTCGCAAATTCTATTGAACCAGGGTTTAGGTTTTAGTTTTTTTGTTCCTAAAGTCTTGTTAGCTACATTGCTTAAAGCATCTCTAAATTCTTCCCAGCTCTCATCGATATTTTGTTCGAATCTTATTTGCTTACTTTGTAAAGCGTCCTTGATACTGTTTACAAAAAGTTTGCCTATATCATGATTTTCTAATTTATCTATGTCAAGCCTTCTTGAGTTTACTGGATTTTTTTTACCTAGTTTTTTGAGTTTCACTTTTATCCGTATGCCTAGTAGTAAGTGATCAGAACCAATGTCTGCTCCACGCAATGTTCTTACATTCAGTACGCTGTTTTTGAATCTGGAGTTTACTAGTATATGATCTATTTGGTTTTTGTATTTACCGTCTGGAGATACCCATGTATACTTGTGTATATCTTTCTTTGGTAACATAGTGCTCTTTATCACCAGACCATTTCCTACTGCAAAATCAATCAGTTTTGCACCATTGTTGTTCGTATTTGCATGTAGGCTATGGTTTCCAATGACATTTCTATAGCATATCTCTCGACCTATCTTAGCGTTAAAATCGCCTAGTACAATTTTTATTGTACTAGTTGAAGAGGCAAATATATCTGCCAACGTTGCATAAAACAAATCTTTTTCGTCTTCATCCTTCTCCTCTGTTGGCGCATGTGCATTAATCAAAACTGCATCAAAGTTTTCGGATTCTATTGTTATGGTCGAAATTCTTGGGCTTATATCTCTAAATTCCTTAACTGCGTGAATTATTGATTCGTGTATAGCAAATCCTGTACTTAATTTGTGTGGGTGTTCACATTTCCCATTAAAAATTGTTGTTTGAGATACTTTAGTTGTTCCAGTATCATCCCACCTAATTTCTTGCAAGGCTACACATTTCATCTTGTATTTTTCTACTTCTGTCACTAAATCCAAAGTTGCTCCTGGTTTGTACAAGGTCCTTACGTTCCATGTACCACATAATAAAGCCGATTTCCAGTTTCGTTTCTTTTTTCCGTTAAATCTATCCCGAGGCTTGTTGTTTGAGTCCTGAACATAACTGTTTTTTATGTGGATGGGTTGTTAGCCCGTCGCACAACCCCCAACCTGGAGGACCAGACCACTCCGATCACTTAAGATCAGAGTGGGGCTATTGCAGCACCCATTGAAGGGCACTGGGCGATAGGGACGCCACTTTCCCAACGCCATCTTACGATGTAGAAAAACTAGAAACTAGCAACTGGTACATGCATATCAGACCAAATAAAGGAAAGAAATTTAAGAAATAAAAATAAAAATAAACAATTGATATCCACAATCTAGATATATATTATATTATAAACTATTTAAAGTATCTACATCGTTTTATTATTTCGTTATTCAATGCGTATATAAATATAATATTATCATTTATTATAAACGCGTGTACACATGCTCCATTCATATTGTATGGATTTTCTATATTTATATTTTATAGACTATACATTTAAATTAATGATTTATTAATAAATATTATAGTGTGTAATTTGTATAAAATATAAATACTCGTAATATAAGTTATAACACTTATAACGTAATATGTTAGTTCTCCTTCTCCGTACTATTTATAGTTAATACATATCGTTTCATATCGAGAGATTAAAATTTAAAATCATTAAATAATAATAATTTATATTTTATAAATCGATTTAATTTCGAAAGAATCACTCGCCTAGTAATTTTTATCATTGGACTATTTCAGCTGATTTCAATACCGAGAGAATCACTCGAGAAGTTTCAAAACAATCGAAATAATCGAGTAAATCTAACAATCGAGTATTTCGAGTGATTTCTCTCGATTGTTCCCATCACTAAATTGTATATTAGTTAGTTAGTTGATCGACACCGCTCGCCAAGTATCGGCGCGTGTCTGTGAATAAATATGTTGGCATTTAATCATTCTATTTCTTTTTTATTTCTTTTCTCTTAAAATTAACCACTCTCGCCATCATCACAAATTATTATTCCTATTATAGATGCCTGTATAAATCTATCTATTATTAATACAATAATAGCCCTACCTACTACTAGCGCTTTATAGATGTGGTTAAAATATGTAATAATAAGCCGTAACACTACCGGACCGCGGACGGGCTTAAAATTGAATATGGCGTTATCTAACCTGCAGGGGCGTATTTAGAAATGTCTTATGGGGGGAGGGGGGCACAAACAAAAATGTTCAAATTTTACAGTTATAACTTACCTTGTATTTTCCCTCTCAAAAAACTGTCGCCAATCATGACCAAATAATCAAAATACAAGTGTTTGATAGAAACAACATTTTATTAGACAAATTTAATATTTATAATAAAACATTTTTAAATAGGTACAATTTTGGTAGTTATAATAACTGAAGGCATCTGGGGTGTTTATTAGCATATGTATCAACAACTTCTTCAGGTTTTATAATTATTTCAGGGTGTATATTGAGCAATACTAATCCGTTTAATCGACTTTCTCCCATAGTTGATTTTAAGTAGGTTTTAATTCTCTTAAGTGAAGAAAATAACCTTTCAGACATGCATGTGGTTACAGGAATAGTTGCAAATAGCATTAAAAGCCTTTTAATATTTGGATAATAATTCATGAGTGGTAAAAATATTGTTTCCAATGCAATAGCTGGAAGTTTATCTACTGGTTTTTCTTTCCATATTGCTTTCCAGGTTTTCAATTCTCCTTCTAATTCATTGAAAGTTCCTGGTAAATAAGTTGTAAACAATAATGCTGCATCTAACATTTTTTAAACGTCAATATTGTTACAATACTTAGGTATGAATCCTTTTAAATTTAAAATATTAGTATTTTTTGTTTCAAATCTATATTTAATTTCAGTTAACAATGCATCTAGATATGGATAATAAACAGAAATTCTATAATAACTCTCAGGTGTGTTTGATTCTGATGAAATATTTAATCGGTTACGTTGTTTATTTGCTATTCGTGATATTTTGACTTCAATGTTAAATCTATTAGCCAAATCTTCAGATTTTTTAAAAATATCTTTTAAGTCATTTTCGTTACGTTGATTTGTCAAAACAGTTAGAGCAGATTGTATTAAAGTTTGTGCCTCAGATATATCAAAAGTTGAAGTCTGAAGTTCCCTTGATAAAGGTAGTGTAATATTCATGGTATTTATTATAATTTGTAATGTCAATAAAAAATCAAATCTTAATATTGAGTTGTATAATCCATTAACTTTTGTCAAAACTTGTCCGTCAGAACATTCAATCATATATTCAAAAAATGATATAATAGCAGGAAGCATTAGATTAAGTCTTATAAAAGCTTCATGATGTTCAACCCATCTAGGTGCACATAGCTTTATTAATATATCTGAATTAAGATTTGGACAGTGTTTTTTATTTTTACTTTTAAAAATGTCAAGTCTTTTTGGAGAATCTCTTATGAAGTTTATAACTTCTTCAACAATTCCAATTGTATTTCGCACTGGTTGAACTGAATATGCCTTAACTAAAACTAAATTTAAGCAGTGGCTATAGCAATGCACATATGTAGCTAGAGGTTGATGTTTTGAAATATAAGCTTGAGTGCCTTTAAATTTGCCAGACATGTTGGCAGCCCCATCATAGCTCTGTCCTCTTAAATTTGTTAAACTTAATCCTGACTGTTCTAATAATTCAGAAATAGTTTTTCCTAGCGCTTCTCCACTTAAATCAACGACTTTCAGAAATTTAATAAAATCCTCTCGAATTGTTTTTTGAGTCAAAATCTACATATCTTATACTGATTAAATCTGAATTTTGGTTCAAAATATTTCCTGTTTCATGTCTATGTCCACGAAGTGCTATATTTTGTTTTTCACAAAACAAAATAGTTTTTACGATTGGTAGGATTTTTTTTCTATTTATTTCTATTTGTTTTTTTTTAAATTTGAATCTAACTGAACTTCTACACTTGTATCTCTCCCTTCATAAGTTGCACAAAAATGTTCTGACTTTAATATAGATAATACATGATACTTTAAGTTTGAATGTTTTTTAAAATCAGCAATAGCATTTTTTATATTTTGTTAAAGGTTGTAATGTAAGAACCCCAAGTTTTTGATCACCTACTCCTCCAAAATCTCTACCAAACAAAACACATATTCGACAATATGCCCCAGAGTCTTTAGCACTATAGCTGAGCCATGGAAATTTGTTCAACCAATCTTTTTGGAATTTCCTATTTTTATTTCCCTGAACAACTACTGGAAATTGAAAGTTTTCTGATGGAATCCAAGGTTTTTTAATTAAATTATATCTATTTTCATTAAATAGTGCAGGAGATTTGTTTAAAAAATATCCAATATCTAGAGGATCAAAATGACTATCGTTGACAGAATGTTGATGTTGTGAATCTAATTTTGGATTATATAAATAATTTAAATTAAATTAAATGTTTTAACTTAAATATACTTAATAGTTAATACCTCCACAATAACCAAAATTAATACAGTTAGTAGTAGGTAACTATAATCAAGCAGTAAGCAGTAAGCATTATAAAAACATAAATTGCAATTTTAATCTCTAAAAATACAAATTAAATAAAAATGTACTTACTTGTTAGATGATTGCTTTTTAGTTTTCACATTTAGATGTTTTTAAACTATGAACAGTCAAAACCATAGGTTACATACAATATTATAGTACCTATTGATTAAAATGTTAAGATGAAAATAATACATACAAGGATACATACTAATCATGAGACCTAAAAACATATAACAAAATCACAAAAACAAAAACAAACATTGATTTCACTAAATACAATGGACATTTAAAAATACACACACATAATAATAATACACACAAAACCAATTTAATAAGTAAAAAACATACACTCTACGAAATGTGATTCATGAATTTTATCAGGAAGAACATTTAAATTTAGTATGCTTGAGCTTGGAGTTGGATCAATTGGATCTACAAAATGGATTCACGACAATTGAGCGCGTGACAATTAAGCGAAGACTATTGAGCACACGACAATTAAGCGCTCCGAAAATTAAGCGCAATATATAAAAAATAATAAATAAATAAAAAATATATTATAATAAATTTAAGTCATAGAATGATTAATAATATTATATCTGAATACAAAATGTCAAACAAAAAATGTATAATAATAATTTAAAAAAATAAAAAAAGTAGGCATAGTATAGTTTATAATACATTATGAGCCAAGTTAAACTATTAAATATTTTGAGCAATGCCTAATACGACCACGACATTTTTTCGTATTACATTCAATACATCGCCAACTACTGTTTTTGTCAAATCTATATAAATATCCGTTGTAACATAGTAGGTCTCGACCTTTTTCACTTTTAATAAATTCCATTTTGTAATTAAAAAAAATTAAAATTTTGAATACAATTAATTGAATGAAAACGAAAAGAGAATAGTGTTCAATATGCACGTGTGAAAATATGACAGTAAAGTTATCCAACGATAAAAACCTACATCTACTGCCGTGTTATCGTCGTTGGAATTTTATTCTAAAAAAAAAACGATTTAATAACACTGTATCGATACGATACGAACGATACGGCAAATAAGTAATAATATTATCTTCAAACATAATTATTATCTGACGGGTTATATAGGTATTCGTAGACAGTGTGAACAGATTTATTTATAATTTTATTATTTCGTGAACAGCAGTTAGTAAAATATTATAGCGCTTAATTTTCGCAGTGCCCAATTTTCCCCGCACTCAATAGTCTTCGCCCAATTGTCTGCGCTCAATTGTCGCGCGCTAAATTGTCGGGACACCCTACAAAATAAATAATAATGTAAGTTTGGTGTTCAATACTCTGTAGTCTGTAATTTCTTACCAGTACTAGACTTTGACTTTTTTGAAAAAAATTCAGTTATTTTTGGTCCACCTCTTTTATTCGACGTCATTATTAAATTATTAAAAATTAATACAGTAGTCACAAAATAATTTTAATTTTTCTTGACTACAACAGCTTACAAGTGGCAGTTGTCAACTATTTATTATATTATCATGATTCCTATCACTATTCACTATCTTACACGGTCTTAGAATAAGATTACGATAACACAACAATGAAGAACGTTTCGTAACGTTCTGCTTTTCATGAAATAAAAACACTATAAATCTAATAACACTGAGACGCAGATTTCTCGATTATAATCAGTGTGGTATGGCCGTATGGGTATCAAAAATCAATGGTATCATACCATGATAAATTGATATGCTACCATGTGCCAGTGCGTGAAAATTAAGAGAACCTACGGGTGTTAATACGGTGAATGGGGGGGGGGGGGGGGGCACGGGCCCCATGAGCCCCTCCCTTAAATACGCCCCTACTAACCTGTATATCTTTAATCGTGGATCCACTTTGATATGATCATAAATAAACATAGAAAATACTATCTGTAGCCGTGATACGTTGGATTTTTCATGGAAAAATTGCGATAGTAAAGACCTAAGTCGGATCAAACAATTCACTTAGAAATAATATAAATTTGTGCAAACTTCAAAAAATTGAAGAAAATAAACAGCTGAACATTTTACATTTTTTTTTTTTTACAAACATATTTTAAAAATCATATCAACAAGATGGCTATTTTGAATTTTTTAAATATCAAATAATACATTTTTTAAATTTTAAAATTTTACATAAAAAATGTTTAAAAAAAAAATCAAAAAATATTTTAAATGTAGCGCAAACGAAAATTGACAATTAAAAAAAAAAAAGTTGAAAATGTTCAGTAAGTAATTGCAATTGTCAGTTCATCGTGAAACACCCTGTATAGAGGGTATGACAAAGAAACTACTTTATTTAAAAAAAAATAATATCATATAGTGTTTGGGGATGTCATTTTTTCAATTTATAGTGAGACATTAGTATTATTTTTTTTTTTAAACCATATTAAAGCGATGAAATAGGGTCTTTCTTATTGTAATATGACAATATTGATGAAAGAGTACATTCCCCCTTAGGATTTTTTTTTTTAAATTGATTTTTACCAATACATCAAAAAAATGTTTATTTTAAATAAGGATCTGTAAAAATCAAAAAAGTACACTCTGAAAAGAATTTCAAAAAAGCTGAGAATACCACTAGATACAAGAACTGTCTCTTAATAATAAAAAAATAACTAACTCAATAAAATTTAAACATAAAATAAACAAATGTATTAGTATTGTTTTACTAATAAATAAATAATAACAATACAAGCAGGCCCGTATTTAAGGGAGGGCTCGGAGGGGCAATTGCCCCTGGCGGCAATATAAAAATTAGATTTAGGGGCGGCAAAATATTGAAATGGTCAAAAATGTAAAATTTATTTGTAGCTCATTTTACCTAATGAGTATAATACAAAAATATAATATATAATTAGTATAATAAAAAAAAACTATAATAATATAATTATACCAAAATAGATTTTGAATGTAGAATGTACTTAATAAAGTTCTAATAAAGTTTTTATTCGTTATCAACTCGAATGTCAATAAAATGCTTTGGGCATATTGATGTAAACATATGATTCGTATTTAGCTCTACGAATCGTAGACTATGAAAAATACATACTAAAAATAGAAAATATACAATTGCGGCCTGGGGGTATTGCCATGATATAAGGAGCTACGAGTCTACGACTGCCGATTGTTGACAATTTATGCTGCTATTATTAAAATATTATCGATAACAAAAATCAACATACAATTTTATTATTAGTGAACTATTCGTGAACGAGTGCTTTAGTGCTGTACTGACGTGGTGTCGTGTTCTGTTAATCAATATATTTTAACTATTAATTAATATTATACATTTATACTACGCGTGTATATTCAAAACAGTAAGTATTATAATTTATCATTGATTTTAAAATATTATAAAACCAATAGTATTATATGGTATTTAATATTTATATTGTCGTATACACTATTATGATAAATTATTTACAAAATGTTAAATTGTGCTTGAATTCTAATAATTAGAAAAAAAACAATAATTGTTCTTAAGAGTTGCAGAATATTAGTTACGATATATTTTTATTATAATATTAGTAGCTCGATTAGTAGGTACTTGTAACATTATTTTTAAGAAATTGATTTTTCTCATATAAGTCACGAATTTACATTCTGAATAGGTACATTTTATATTTGTAATAATATTTTATACCTATTTTACTTAGTTATGGCTCCAAGAAGAAATAGGCTTAGTGGGGCTGAATACAAGAAAATAGCTAAGCTCAAAAAATTTAATTTGAATAAAGTTGTTCAAAAAACTATTAAAATCGACACAATGTTCAAAAGTAAGTATTTTATTTATGTTGTCTGTAAAATAAACTAATAATAATATGAAATTTATATAAATACATAATAAGTTTAATTTTTTTTTTTAAGAAATTAAATATTATTACACTAAACCAATCTTAATGATTATATTATTGCTGAAATTTAAATAGTTAAAAATAACAATTGCTTAAAAGTTAAAAATTATACTCCAAAAAATATGAATTTTCTTATTAGGTAGTTTTTAGTTATTTTATTACTATATAAATCAGGTATTCACGAGTATTCAGTTATAACGAAAAAAAAAAATGTATTGTATTTAAACAATGGTTAAACACAACTAGTATTTTTATAATTTTTGATTATATCATTATATATTTCTACTCAGAGTCAGGTATGGTTAATAAATCTGCTGAACAACTTCAAACTGGCCTTACAACTCTCTGTAATAATTTGGATACAGAACCTCCATGCGTGTCAAAGCATATAAATATTTTATTTGAACCAAATTCTACTGATATACCTGGGTAAGTTAAAACACTAATTCAAATTATTTTTTTTAAATAAATTCTTACTTTACTTAGTTTTTGACGATTATCTTCATTAGAAATTTTTAATTATTTTATTAGAATTAATTTTTGCAATATACAAAATAATAATTAATAATAATAGGTAAAATAAGTAAAAATTTATTATGTTAAATATTCTAATATATTATATGCATTTATGTTATTTTTATCATAACTATTTCTAAATTGATAAGTAATTTTCATATTTATTTTTATTTAAGATTGGATCCAGCATTGTGGTGTATAAATGAACAAACGAGGCAATATATCTGTAAAAATGGATTTAGTCAAAATCTAGATGTTAAATTTACAGCATCAAAAAGATTGTACAATGTTGTTCAGAAAGGGCATTTCCGCAACTATTTTAGATATCTGAATATAGATTTTTTTAAAACTGTTTTAATCAATGGTGAATCATGTCAAAGAGATTATTTATCTTACTCTGAGAGTACTGGATCAATTTATTGTGTTCCATGTCTTTTATTTGAGAATAAAACTAATTTTTCAAAAACAGGATTTTCAGATTGGAAACACCCTAAAAAAATTTCTTACCATGAAAATTCACCTGAACACAAATTATGTTCCTATAAAATGAAAGAACTTGCATCAGATTTAAGTAAAATAAATACAAAACTAATACATCAAATAGAAACCGAAAAAAAATATTGGATTAGTGTACTGACCAGAGTTTGTTCGGTTGTTAAAAGTTTGGCAAGCCATGGATTATCATTTAGAGGTGATGTAGAAAAATTTGGATCATCTACTTCAAACACTGGCAATTTTATTATGATGATGGAATTACTTGCAGAGTATGACCCACTTCTATCAGAACACATATCTAAGTATGGTAACCCTGGCAAAGGTAATACTTCCTACTTATCGTTTTCTACTTATGAACAGTTCATTAAAATCATGTCTGAAAAAGTCATTAATATCATAGTTGATGAAATTAAATCATCGAAATATTTTTCTATCAGCATAGATTCCACTCCAGATATATCACACACTGACCAGCTGTCTTTCATTATCAGGTATGTGCTATCGAACGGTGAGCCAATTGAAAGATTTATTGGTTTTTTAGAAAATGTTGGACATAAATCAGAAAATATAGCAGAATCAGTTTTATCAGTTTTAAAAAAATATAATTTAGATGTTTGTTATTTGAGAGGTCAGTCTTATGATAATGCTAAAAACATGTCTGGTATTTATTCAGGAGTTCAAGCAAGAATAAAGCAAGTTTCACCATTAGCTGATTTTGTACCATGTTCGGCACATTCCTTGAACTTGGTCGGATCGTGTGCTGCAAATTGCTGTAAAGAAGCAAATGATTTTTTTCTTTTTATTCAAAATATATTTGTATTTTTTTCTTCATCCACGCATCGATGGCATAAATTAAGTCAATATTCTATCTCAACTGTAAAAAGTTTATCCACCACACGGTGGTCAGCAAGAGAAGACGTTTGCCACAGTTTAAAAAAAAACTGGAGTTCTATAAAACAAGTATTAAAAGAACTAATAAATGATGATTATGAAAAACCATTTGTACGGTCTGAAGCCAGAGGTTTAATTAGACAAATGAATAAATTAGAAACAGCATACATGACTGTATTTTGGAGTGATATTTTACATACATTTAACAAAACTAGTCTTCTATTACAATCTGTTGATATTGATATAAGCACTGTAGTTAGTTTGTATAATTCGTTAATTGAATATGTTCAAACTTTACGATCAATGTTTAATGATTATGAAAAGTTGGCAAAAGCTATGTTTGACAATGATGACTTAATTCCTGACTATGAACACAAAAATAGAAAACGTAAAAAACGTAATGATGAATCTATTGAACCAGATGCTATTTTCAATGGACCCGAAAATTTCAAAATTAATACCATTTACATTATTTGTGATAATTTAATCGAAGAACTAAAAAAAAGAAAAATTTCTTATGATGATATAATATCTAAATATTTATTTTTCTTAAATATTAGTGAACAAAAAACCTCAAAAATTCGTGATGGTGCAAAAAAATTAAAAAAAATATACAAAAATGATTTGGATGAAACATTTGAAAACGAGTGTGTTCATTTTCAGAGCTTACTTAAAACTATTAAAAACCCTCCAACAAATATAATTAATATGTGTAAATTTATTAAAGAAAAAAACATAGAAGCTATTTTTCCTTATGTTTATGTTGCCCTCCGAATGTTCCTATGTACTCCTGCTTCTAATTGTTCAACGGAAAGGTCATTTTCCACTCTACGGAGAATAAAATCATATTTAAGATCAACCATGTCATCAGAAAGATTGAACAGTTTAGCCATATTAAACATAGAGTCATCTATAACTAAAATGATTGATTACGATGATATTATTAAATCATTTGCATCAAAACAATCTCGCAGAAAAGTTTAAGAAAAGTTGTGAAGTTACAATTGAATATTTTTATTTTTAAGTTGTTTTATTATTTTAAAGAATGTTTTAAATAATATATTGCTTATTAGTTATTACTGAGTTTTATTTTATATTAATGTACCTATTTACTATTACAATTGTGTAATATCAATAAAGTAAAAAAAAATTTCTTATTTGGGTGGGGGGGGGGGGGGGGGCAAATTTTATGTTGCCCCTGGCGGCAATTTTTGTAAATACGAGCCTGAATACAAGCATTATCTTTAACAAAATTAAAAATTATTAACTCAGTATAACTATTATAATTTATAACCAGTGGCGTAACTACGGGATAGCAAGGCACGACAATGCCCCGGGGCCCTGGACTTGAAAGGGCCCTCGACCATCGTAAATAGGTGCATAAAAAAAAAAAAAATCTTTCGGCTTAATATACTTAATATATCAATAAAATAATATTAGTTGTTTTATGAAATACGTAATCCACTTGCAATTTATTATTGTTCGGAAATCGGAAATATAAAAATAATTGATATTTAAAGACAGCTGTATATCTTGAGTATGGTGGTCGTATAGAAATACATATATTATTATGCCTAATTATTTTTAGAAATTATAATATGACATGTTTGAATGCTTGTCACAAACAATAATTAGTTGCGGGTACTCGCTACACAATTCTATTTCTGCGGAAAATACACCAACTATTTATAATTTTTGTTTCAAAACAGTACTGAGAAGCGCTGCTGGTGGAAAAACATTATTTACTATAGATGGTTTCACACACGACCACCATAAGCCGGCCTTAATAATAAATATTAATAAGTCAATGTGTATTGTTTTCGTCGTACGACGATTGTCAATATTACTGCACGTAAACATATTTTCTAGTTTGTCCGTGTACACGAGTACACGTCATTTTACATTTGACCATCGAAACGTCTGGACAACTAACATAGAACAGGTAAGTTTAACTTTTAGTTTTAAGTTGTAATTTTTGCTATACCGCGTATTCAAAAAAATTTGGAAATACTTAAATCATTGTTATTATTTAGAAATTTGAATATCTACCATACTCGTTCAACAATACAGTGAAATTATGCTTTTCGTATGATTTCTTGACCCAATTGTTCGAATAAGTAATAATCGATGCGTTTCAATATTAAAGATTTTCAATGTTTTACCCAGAGATAATATGTTGGTTCAATAACTCGATTGTATCAGTTTATTAACCGTGTTCCTAATAAGCGGCTCTACTGTATTTGATTTCCAAATTTATTATATTGAAGTTTAATATATCCCAGATAACAAAATAATATAATAACACTATTTTATTTTAACATTTCATTTTAACTGGTAATATTATTAAAAAACGGAACTAAGTGAATTGAAATCGCAAAGTGTTATTACTGTATATTACTGCTATTATATTAGTTTAAAACAGAAAACTTTATAAATATCGATTTTTGGAACATACATTTATAAAAATCAACTTTATAAGACTGATATTCGATCATTTGACATAATACCATAATAATTATATAAAACCAGTCATATTCATTTATAATAATATTTTAATATTCCTGAAATATTTATTATTATATAAAATAATATTATAAAATTTTGAAAGTAATATAATATCTGAAATATTATTTAATAATAATATAACACATTTTATATTATAATATTATGAAAATATTTTAATAAATAAAATATTTATTTTTTTTTTTTTTTTTTATTATTAAGATAAATACACAATCTGTAAATTATATTTTTACAATAAGCGTATGGGCGATATTAATATTAATGAGCGTGAGTTGACAGATAAAAGAAGTCACCCAGCGGTGACACTTTTTAGCTTGACTATTTATTAATTAAAGGTTAATTTGGTTGACGAGATCTCTGCACCAACGGCGAGCTAGTCGTCTGGGAGGATTTCCGGGAATAGTATTTGTATTGAGTTCTCTTATGAGGGGATTTGGATTATTGGTTAAACGGGATCGGAATCGTTTGTAGAAGAAAGATGCAGTTTTGGATACTGTGTTGATGTGGAGATCGGAGTGTAAAGTGTGGTTGGAGACATAATAGGGTGCGCCCGTCATTAGGCGGAGCGAGGTAGACTGGAATGCTTGAATTTTTTTTATGTTTGATTGCTTGGCTGCTCCCCATACTTGTATGCCGTAGGACCAAATAGGTATTAATAACATTTTGTATAGGTTTAATTTATTTTTGAGATTAATTTTTGAATTTTTATTTAATAGAAAATAGAGTTTTCTACGTCTTTGGTTAAGTAATAGTCTCTTGATTTTTATATGGTGGGCCCAGGTGAGTCGCTTGTCGAGGTACATACCCAAGTACCGGGCATTTTCGGAGATAGGAATTTAAGAGTTGTTTAAGGTTAATGGAGGAGAAATGCCTTTACGGAGAGTAAATGTTACGTGCGAGGATTTGGATGTGTTGATTTTGATTCTCCACTTGGTATACCAGGTAGACAGTAGATTGAGGTGGTTTTGGAGGTAGTTTGAGGCTGTGACTGGGTCAGTATGTGTAGTAAAGATAGCTTTGTCGTCAGCGAATTCAGCAACAGTTGTATTAGAGGTGATTGGTTGGTCAGCTGAGAAAACGTTATATAGGATCGGAGATAATATTGCGCCTTGGGGGACTCCCGCGAGAATTGGGGATAGTTCAGAAGTTTCGATACCTACTCGTGTAGTGTAGTGGCGATTTTCCAGGTAGGACTTGAGGAATAGGTAGTAAGGGGGGAGGTAGTAGATTTTTTAATTTGAATAGGAGGCCAGAATGCCATACGCGATCGAACGCTTGAGCGACATATAAGAACACCGTGGGGCAGTACATTTTTTTTTCTAGTGTTAGGGAGATGGTATCGACTAATCGGTGGATTTGATGGATAGTTGAATGTGAGTTGCGGAATCCGAATTGAGTGTCGGGTAGTATGTGTTTTTCGTTGATAATAGGCATAATATGTTTAAGGATAAGTTTTTCACAGAGTTTTGAAAAGAATGGCAAAAGACTGATAGGACGGTATGAGGAGGTATTTTCGATTGGCTTGTCAGGTTTAGGGAATAAGACAATAATTGATAGTTTCCATTGTAGGGGGAAATAAGAGAGTCTAAGAATTGAGTTCATTATGTATGTGAGGAGGATAATGGCTTTTTTAGGGAGTTGACGTGCAATTTCAGCAGTTATTAGGTCGAAACCCGGAGATTTTCGAAGTGGAAATGATAGTATACATTGGGAGATATCATTTGGGGAGAAAGCTTTAGGGGGCAAGTATACAGGAAGCGGAGATGTTAAGAATTCTTTAACTTCTTCTGTGAATTGTGGGTTAGAGATGTCGGGATGAGGTTGGAAGACAGAGGCTAAGTGAGTACGAAACAGTTCTGCTTTTCCTATATCGGAAGTACACCAAGTATTATCATTATTTTTTAGGGGATATGAAGCGACTTTTTGTTTAAGGCAGTTACGAGTGGCTTTCCATAAGGATCCGTTTTTTTGTTACGAGAGATGCGGTCCAAGAGGAGAAGGAATCGGATCTTATTTTGGATAAAGTGCGTTTGAGTTTAGCATTGAGATTGTTATATATTTGTTTGTATGAAGGTAGTCTGTTATTTTGCCAGACTGCACGAGCTCTCCTTTTTTGGACTATTAGGTCTCGTACGTAGTGAGGTAAATTAAGTGATTTTGGTTTTACAGGGATGGGAGTGGATGCATTTCACGCTGAGTGTTGTATTACAGAAGTCAGGTTTTCAACCGCATCTTCTATATCTTCTGGGGATTTTAGTTTAATTTTTAAATTGATTTGTTTTTGTAAATCGTGTTGGAATTTTTCCCAATTCATAATGCCATTGATAAGAGACGATTTTGCTGGGCGAATGGGAGGAGTTACGTCGATGGTTAAAAGTACTGGAGAATGATCCGAACATGGGCTAAGTAGATTATCTATTAAGGAGTATAGCTGTTTTGGTATGTTGGTTATAAAGATTTCTAGAATATCGGGTTTTTTTTGGGGGGGAGGTAGGCCAGTAGGTGGGATTTGGGGGACTTATTATTGAATATGATTTTTTATTTATAGTTTTATACAAAGAGACGCCTTTTGGGTTGTTTGATCTACAGCCCCATACTTTGTTTTTTGCGTTTATATCTCCTCCAACTATAAAGTTTGGCCGAGGGTGGCAAAAAATTGTTCGTATTGGGTTGGGTTGATTTTGTGCTTCGGGGGGGCAGTAAACAGAAGCTATTGTGATTGGGATGTGTTTAATTATTAATTTTATTATAGCAGCTTGAATGAATTCTTCTTGTATTGGGGGTTCATGTTGGAACTGAAGTGAGGATTTAATGATGATTGCAGCTCCAGCGTGGGCAGTGTCGTCGGGGTGTGGAGTGGAGATGATGTGGTAACCTGGGATTGAGAATTTTGTTCGGGTGGTAAAATGAGTTTCAGCTATTAGAGCAATGTCTATCCGTTTTTCGTGTAGTGTTGCGACTAGTTCATTTTTGTGTTTTTGAAGACCGTTTGAGTTCCAAAGGAGTATGACTAAGGATTGTGATGTATATGAGTTATTTTGCATTGGAGATAAGTTGATCGAGGACAGTTGTTAATAATGACATTAATGGATTTAATAGTGATTTGAAATCATTTAGGAAATTAGTAAGAAGTGAATACTCAGTTTGAGTTGATGGGGGGGAGTTTGAATTAGAGGTTGCATTAGCATATGAGGGGGGTGTAAAAGAATGATTATTTTCAGAGGTCACCTGCTGGGTAGACTTAATTTGTACATTATTTGGGTCACTTAAGCTATTTACAATATTTTTGTTATTTATATTATTAGTATTATTTACATATTTACGGTTTTGATTTGGCTAATAGGGTTGACGAAGTTGTTGGAGTTGTTTGTGGATCCGGCATTCTCTGTAATTGGCCGGGTGGTTGCCATTGCAGAGGGCACATTTGGCGGGAGTGTCTCGTGGTTTCGTGCAACTATTTGAGGGGTGATCGTCTCCACATCGGACGTATCTGGATGAATAGGCATAGTATTTTTTTGTGTGCCCATATTCTTGACAATTTTGACATTGGATTATTTCACGATGTTTGTGTGGTTCTTCGATTTTTATTTTGGTGTAAAGTAATCGGTTAATTTTGAAGATATCCGTGTTTAGAGGGGAGGGTTCTAAGTCTACGAAAAATATAGGCATTGGTGTTTTGGTTTGCTTATGGATGACGTTAGATACTTGTCTGACAGAGAATCCGATTTCGTTAAGTGCTTCTGTGATGTCGGTGGTTGAAGTTGTTGAGTGGAGGTTACGGATTACAATTCTAAAAGCTTTGTCTTCTTTAGCTTGGTATGTGTGATACTCGGCTTTGTTGTTTTTGAGGAACTCAATAACTTTACGATAGGCAGTTGGCTTTTCGACTTGGATTTTTAAGTTTGTTGATGAAGATTTGAACAAAAATTTGTCGGGAGAAACTAGTTTTAAGATTTCGTCTTTTACGTTTGTGAAGTTTTCGACGCCTCTGACAAAGATGGGTGGAGGAAGAGGTTCTCGATTTTTTTGAGCGAACTCGTGATCAGTATTATTATCCGATATAAATACATCGTTTGGATGTGTTGTTTTACTGGTATTTGGTTCTTGAATCTCAAGTGCGGCATATCTGTTTGATGATACAAATAAGGGTTTTGTTTTTTTTGTGTTCGGTTGGGCTAGTGGTAGATGTAGACAGATTTCGTTTATTCGATTTAACAGAAGTAAAGCTTTGTTCGTTTATGTCATTATCATTGAAAACGGTATCACTTGAATTACTTATTGAACGGTTATTTGATTGTGTTGGTTTTGTATTTTTATTTACAATGCGATTATTGACTATCTTAATTGGAGGTACGATTTTATCGTTATTTGATTGCGAGCCGGTCGGCATGATGCTATTATAAATATCTAATCGGAGTCCAAAGGTCACCGCGGGCGGCGATGCCTCGGAGAAGCGATATAATAGGGTATATCATACACTATGTGTAGTAATTATAATATTTACTTTTTTGATTTTTTCTCGAAGAGGATTTATAAAACCACAGGAACGCTGTGGTTTGGTGTATGAATAAAAAAAACTGAATTAATTGGTAGTAAGCTCGACTAATTCTGAAAGAATTGAGGTGATTAACTTTGAACATGTGAGAAGACAAAAGAAAAACGCGTGCGTTCGGTTTGGCTGTTCTCGCAAGACAAATAAAATATAACTTAAATGTTATAGTGATATTTTGAATATAATATAAATTAAGTAAAAATATTGATTTAAAAATGTTATTTTTATAATGAATTTATAATATTATAGTAATAATACTCGTATCATTACAGTTTTGTTATCTGGGATATTTTATTCGAAATTTAGTTTTTTAATAATTTATAAAATATAAAAGTTAGCTTTTTTTTATTTAAGTTGTACCTAATCATGGAAGATAAAATCAAAATGTTAAGCAGTACTAGTGGAGCAGCCAAAAAACGTAAACAAAAAAAAATTGAAGAATCTAAAGCAAAACTTCCTAAAATTACTAGCTTTTTAAAAGGTGCTAATAAGGAAATTGTTGAGAAAATTGGACCAGATATTTCAAATAATTTAAGGGACAACGTTACAAATTTAGATGACCATCCTATAGAAAGTGTCAATAAAAATCCATCAACGAATAATAATGAACCAATAATTTTTAATACTAATGTCAATTTGATAAATACTGAAAATGTAAATATTGTGAATGAACCAGAAAGCTTTGAAGTAGATTTACCAAAACCGCAAACACTCATTTTAGAGAATACAGATATAGGTAGTTTTCAAGGAAAAAACTTTAACAGACCATTTGAAAACCATGATAATATTTTCTCCATCATGTAGACCAACTGATCCGTTTCCTCGGGATCCACTTCAAAATAATAGAAAATTTTCTAAAATTTATTACCAAAGAAAAAATTAAGCAGGGTTTTGTTGAACGAGCTTGGTTATGTTATTCATTAAAATTGGACGCAGTTTATTGTGAACCATGTTGGCTTTTTTCAAATATAAGTCAAGATCAGTGGCATAACCATGGTATAAGAGACTGGAAACATTTATCACAAAAAATTTCACAACACGAAAACTCAAAGTCACACTTAACATCTTGTTTTGTATATGACCAATGGAAACAAAATAGATCTTTGAATACTAAAATTGAAGAACAATATAGATATAATTTAAGTTTTTGGGCCCAAGTTCTAGAAAGACTATTTAGTATAACTCTAGCTTTATCTAAAAATTCTTTAGCATTTCGAGGACATCGTGAATCAATAACTGACACATATAATGGAAATTTTTTATTTCAAGTTAAACTTTTAGCAAAGTATGATGATGTATTAAAACACATAATGAGCATGCCTAAAGGAAGTATCAAGTATTTAAGCCCTCAAATACAGAATGAGATAATACACTGTTTGGCAAATGAACTTAGGAGAGTATTGATTTCAAAAATTAAAACTGCGCCATTTTACTCCATTATTATAGACACTACTCAAGATATTTCAAAAAAAAGACCAACTAAGTGAAGTTTATAGGTATGTGAACATTATAAAAAAATGAAAAATCAGAACCTGTATCTATGGAAATTGAAGAAGTATTCCTTGGATTTTCGGAAGTGGACGATCATTCCGCTGTTGGTTTATCAACAAAAATTAAGCAGCTATTACATAATAATAATATGGATCTATTACAGTGTCGTGGACAAGGGTATGATGGGGCAAGAGTAATGAGTGGCGCATATGGTGGAGTTCAAGCCCTTATCAGACAAGTACAGCCTAATGCACTGTACGTTCATTGTGCATCACACAATTTAAATTTGGCAATTAATGACGCGGCAAAATGCTCAATTGAAGTTGCATCGTTTTTTACTACTTTAGAAGATATTTACACATTTTTTTGGAAGTAGCATTAACAGATGGGATTTACTATCAAAATTTACTGGGGAATCTACCATCACTCTAAAAAAATTAAACCCTACTCGTTGGGCAGGTCGATATATGTCACTGTTGGCTATTAAATTGAGATATATTGATATAATGAAAGCATTAAATGAAATAAATTTGAATACTCATAAGCTAGATGAACGAAATGAAGCGATTCGTATAATTAAAATTATGAGTACCTTTGAATTTATTTTTATATGTATAATTTTAACAGAAATACTGTCTCAACTTAATTTGGTATCAAAACTCCTTCAGTCAAAAAAACGTGGACCTTTTAAAAGCTACAGACAATTTAAAAAATGCTAAAACAAATTTAGAAAAATTCAGAAATGGATATGAAAGCGCAAAAGCTAATGCTCTAAATATTGCTAGTAAATGGAAAGTCAACCCAGAATTTTCTAATAAAAGGAAAAAAATGATAAAAAAACATTTTTATGAACTCGCTCAAGACTTTAGGTTTGAAAATAATGAACATGCATTCAAAATTAACGTGTTTTATAAAGTTTTGGATGTCGTTTGTTGCCAACTTCATAACCGTTTTGTAGGAATGAATGAAATGTGTAATTTATTTAATTTTATGAGCCCTAGTGTATTAATTTCTCTTCCAGAAAAAGATATAATAGAATATTCACAAAAAATTCAATTAAAATATAGTAACGATTTATCAGCTGAATTTCCCCAGCAATTAGTTATGCTAGTTTCAATGACTACTATAAAAGAAGAATTAGCCATGTTAAACTCAATAAAAGAATTTTTAGAGTTTTTAATAAAACAACCATTACTAAATTCAAGTGTTCCAGAAGTAGCAACCGCTTTAATATTATTTTTAACATTACCAGTAACATCAGCCAATGCCGAACGATCATTTTCAAAGTTAAAATTAATAAAAAATTATTTAAGAAGTACCCAAGAACAGGAACGCCTTAGCGATTTAGCAATCTTAGCCATAGAAGCTAAAGAAGCAGAGAAAATGGACATAAAAGAACTAATAAAAACATTTTCTGAACTGAAAGCTAGAAAAAAAAAACTTTTAATAGACACTTTGTAGTTTTGTACTCTTATACATATATCTACCTAATATTAATAAAATATAATAAAATAATAAATATTGTTTTTTTTTTTTTTAATTTTGGTAGCATAATATAAGCCAATACTTGATACTGCCCCGGGGACCAACATTTATAGTTACGCCACTGTTTATAACGTTAACATAAAATAAAATAAAAATGTAATTGATAATACTTGGAAATAAATTTTGAGTTCATTGATAAACTAATGAGTTCTTCAGCATGTTCTGGAGATAGTAATGTCCGATTATCTGTAATAATATTCCCTGCAGAGCTGAATAATCTTTCATTAGGCACACTGTACCAGGAATACATAAGTATTTCATTGCTAGTAATGATACCGTAGGCAATTGTGAATGATATAGTTTTCACCACTGAAGAGGATCGGCTTCAAGAGAAATAAATGGCAAAGATACATATTTTTCCAATTCAATTTGGTTTAAGGCTTCGTCGGTTACATTGTTCATAACTGGACGTCGTACGAATATCGAACGACATTTGTCGTCAAATATAGAGTGACTACAGGTGTCTTTTTTTTTTATCATTTATCATTACATGTTTGTTCTTGAGTGCTGTTCAATGTGTACCTATACAGTTTTTAAATTGCGATTTTTTTTTTTGATTTTTTTTAAATCGATACTATTTTATATTAAGTGTCATTAAATTCTTTATGATGGCTGATACTTCACCAGTCAAAAGGAATCGTCCTGGAAGGGTAAATATTTATATTAAATAATATTTTACAAGATTTTTTTAGTATAAAATACATAATCCATTCATTATATATGATTCAAAACGTTCTATAAAAAAAAAACATATTAAAAAAAAATATTCTATCCTAAATTTCTATTATATTACTAATTTTTTATATTTTTTATTTTTTAAGTTTGTTGGTGTACGACAAAAGGAAATTATTATAAATTTTTACAAAAATCTAATGTTTGAGCAACAAACCGCAGAAGAGGATAAAAAACTAAAATATAAAGAAATCGTCAAGACTCTATCAAAGATGAGTGGTGTTGGACAAAAAACAGTGATCAACAAAGTAAACGATTTTGACCAAAACGCCATTAGATAAAAGGTACATAATTTTTGGTTTAATTGTGAAGAACCTACTTTGAACAAAATTTTAGTTTCCGTAAACGAAGATGACAATTTACCAGATTTTTCAAAGACGTCTTTACGAAGAATTTTAAAACATCTAAATTTTGAATACGTAAAAAAAAAAAATCGAAAAAGTACACTTATTGAACGAAATGACATCGTGTGTTGGCGTCGGAAATATTTGGAGTCCATAAAACATTTTAGGCTAAGTGGTGGACCAATTTACTATCTTGATGAAACGTGGGTCAATGCTGGTGAAACGAACACAAAGTCATGGATAGACACAACTGTCAGTTCGCCAGAGACCCATTTCTTCGAGGACCCACTACTGGACAAAAGGAGCCGTCAGGTAAGGTCAAACAACTAATTGTATTACATATCGGGTCGTCTGACGGTTTCGTTCCTAAAGGTCTATTATCTTTTGAATCAAAGAAAAATACACTGGATTATCATGATGAGATGAACGGGGACACGTTTTACGACTGGTTTATCAAAATTCTACCATCTCTTAAGAACAACGCCGTAATAGTAATGGATAATGCCTCATAACATTCAGTAAAAAAAAATCCATTTCCAACTATGGTTGGGACAAAACAAAAAATTATAAATTGGCTTGAAAAAGAAGGTGAAGTGATAACAACACAGACAATAGTAAAATTTCAACTCTTAGAACTCGCTAAAAAAATATAAACCATTGCATGAAGAGTATATAATAGACGAAGTAGCAAAAGAACACGACAAAATAGTTTTACGGTTGCCTCCCTACCACTGCGAGTTAAACCCAATTGAACTCGCGTGGTCTTGGATAAAAAACTATGTTCGTATGAACAATACCACATTTAAATTACAAGATGTACAAGAGTTATTAAAAAAAACAGTGGATAACGTAACAAGTGAAATGTGGATGAATTTTATTAGCCACGTTATAAAGGAAGAGGACAAATTCTGGAAAATTGATTTTCTGTCTGATGATGTTTTGGACGCGGAACCAGAAACAACAGAAACAAGTGGGCATTTACTTACAATTACAGGCGACACAACTTCAGATTCCGACGACGAAAACATTTAAATATTTTAATTATATAATTTTGTTATTTTTATTAGTTTATATTGCATGTGACAAATTATATTTTATTTATGCTAGTTTTAATAATAAAAAATTTAGAATCAAGATAAATTATACTTATAAATTATTTCATAATAAAAACTCCTATACTGACGTTAGTCGCAGTAATATTTATTGTGTGTTACTTGAACCGCTGTATACAAAGAGCGGTCGCCACATGGTGGGAGAAATTTGGCCTCGGGCAGTCGGAGCTAAATCATTTAGATGCGCGTGGCGGTCGCACTCTCTCGTGGCACGCAGTATACTATACATACCATCATTTTTTTTGGACCTTAAGTTCTTTACTTTTATCTTGGTTGCCTATTTCATTCATTTCAAGTTGAATTGAATTTTTCACTAAATCTATATTTTTGAATCAATATATGCTGATTTATACCTCCGATCCAAAAAGCATATTTTTTGTAAAAACATTCTACTTTCTTCTTTTTTTTGATGTAACATTTATAAAATGATCTTTTTATATCGTCTTTGAAATTATTTTCAATATAATATAATACATTAGCAATTGTATTCACATTACCTATACCTATATTAACATCATCATCACTAATATTTCCACAAACTTCATTAGTGTTAAAATATGAATTTATATCATTATCCATAAGTGTACATTGATTTAGGATTGGAAATAATTGTTCGCTGTTCCCAAAATTTTCACTATTATTCGCTCTAGTTGATTCTTCTTGTGTTAAAGCACAAGTAAAATTTGATGAATTTGTGTGAAGCAAAGTTTTTCAAGTTTTGTATAAACTGGCCAGATTAAAGAAGCTGTAACAATCTTTTCTGCACCTATATGTTCACCAAGTATTTTTTAGAGGTTCAAAAATTTTGCACATCACAAAATTAAGTTTTTGTTCGTAGCAGTTTGGAAGATATTTTATTTTTTCTTGATTTCAACTTAAATAAAACATCATAAAGAGCATCATAATTATCTCTTACAAACTGAATAGCAGGTAGATTAATCCACCATCTGGTAACACATGATGCTGGCATAACTTTTTGTGGAAGGTCGAGTTTACTATGTGCATCTTGAAGCAATCTACGTAAGTTTGAACTATATTGAAATGTATATCTTAGTTTAGAAATATTAGTAATAATTGTTTTGATTAGATTTAAATTCATAGATGATATAACTCCATTATTTAATGTATGACCAAAACAACTACCTAATATGATTTAAGTCCGTTAACTGAACAGCTTTGATTACATTAATATCATTATCTGTAGTTTTGATATAGGAATATTCCAATCTTTAAGTGTAGATTCAATAATATCTTTTAAATTAGTGGCAGTGTGGTCTACATCAAGAATTTTGCAAGCCATAAAGTATGATTAAAGAACTCGATCACTATTGATAGTATATTGTATGAGCTGTTATGCCAATGTAAGGCTGTTGGGCATTGGAACTCTAAAAATGTAAGGTTAGCGACAGAAATCGTGCAGAGTTGAGATCATGTTTTATTCTACGTTTTACCTCAAAGTATAAAGCAGGAATTTTGTTATCAGCAAAAGCTTGGCGCCTTGGAATAGTATATCCAGGACATATGACAGATATAAGTTGTTGAAATCCTTGTTTTGATACAGATCTATAAAGTTGCATATCTGTAGCATTCCAACAAGCAATTGCATTGGTGTATTTTTTCACTGGTTTTTTTGTCCAATTTCTTATATATATTCGTAGATT